TTACAGCAGAATATATAAAATTTCGTTAATATTTCATGAAAAGCAAGGGGAATAAGGTAAATACGAAAAACTCCAACTGAGAAATTGCCTCAGAATATACTCTCTCTTTGTTATTTCAGAACAACATTTCCTTCCAGATGATCTTAATTTTTGCAAATCAATAGCCTAATCAAAAGCATATCAGATAGCGGAACATATAAAGGCTTTTGAGGTATGATTTTGAACAAAATAATTGATAAATATTTGAATAAACCTGAAGTGGCTTGAGAAAAATAGGATGGAAATTGTCATGCTTGCATCAGTAACTGATCTCCCAATCCATTGGTTATGAAACATTCCGTCTGCTCATGACATTGACTTCCAATTACATTCTCTTTTTTTGTTTCATTTTCTTTATACGACAAGACAACATAATTCTGTCAATGTTAAAGACGTGAAAAAGGATTGAAATTGGTTAAATCTCAAATCTAGGTAAAGTGGGCATGTGTATTTTTTGAGAATAGAACTAGAGGCACCAAAATTATGGTATTAAATTTGGAGCCTGAGATTGGACGGCACAACTTGTGTCGACTTTTTGATTCTGAAATTCCTAATTGCTTTGTAAATTTACGCACACGTTGGCCACCCATTGCTGATCGGCTAATTAACTAAGTTTGCGATTAATCAGGTAGGTATATGGCTAGCAAACAAATTTTAGAATAAAACAGAGTTAATAAGTAAATCAAAATAAAAAATATCGGCTCTCTCCATTTAAGGATGAGCAATTGACTATCAAATGTTAAATATACTATTTCATCTGAAAAAAAACAATTTTTTAATGACGTGTGGAAACTCACAAATGCGAAGTTCAGTAAATATAAAACAATTTGAAGAAAAGCTAAGAGCTTAGTAATAAGACTTATTAGAGGAATATAAGAAAGAGGAAAGTTACTGGCAGAGAGAAAATGGAAGGAGACTTCAAAGCAGGAGTTTCCCCAGAGAATTTTGGATGAGAGAGAGAGCTGAGTACAGGGAATAGGCAAGAAAAACGCTGGACTTGGGTTGGGGCAGATTACACTTTGAAATTTATGTATAAATTTAGTAGGTAGGTAGTCAGAGGACAGTGTGAGAATCCGGCTGTGAAGGAGAAGGTAGACGGAAAAACATTAAAGGGGCTGAGAAAAGCCGCTAAAACAGTACTTGAGGTTGATTTGATCATTCGCAGGAGTTGTGGACATAAACCGGTCTGTGCATGCTGATATTATCTTGCTATTTTATAACAAATCGAATGCTGTCCAAACCATTCTAAAACATGTACTTGAAACAGACTTTTATAAAACGCATGAAATATAAATCAGAAAAATATTTTTACATTAAGCGTTTCAAATAAATACATATTAAAATTAGGATAGAATAGTCGTATTAATTTCCTCTTCTTAATTCTTCTCAAAAGATATATTTTTACGAATTTCAAAACGCCGTTAAAATGTAAACCATCTCTAAAATATAAAATAAATAATTAATTATCTTAATGACTACATCAAAGTCCGAGATTTGGTAAAATTTTACAAAATTTGCAGGAAAATATCTTCATTTTCTATTGATTTTCGGAATTAAGATTTTTTGAAAAGTCAAAATTTTTTCGCATTAAGAAAAGTGTTGGCATTTCTAAATAAATATGGTCTATTAATCTTTTAAGGACAAATGAATTATGCAAATTTTATTATTCCGATGCAAGGACTCTAATTCGTTCAATCGTGTTTTTCTTGCCTATACGAATGCAAGAATTTCGAAAACCCTAGGAGTTAGATTTGGTGGCAGCATTGGCGAAGAGAGTGAATCAATCCTGGTTTTGAAACAGCTAAATTAGAAATTAATATATATATTCGATTTCATTTTCTGTGTAAGTTAGCGTAATAAATGCCCATGCTAGGCTTAGTGAAGTACACAACCCTAAGGCGGTTAAACTAAGCTGCCTCATGCACACTCTGGAACGTGGGTCAGTAATGCTGATCGCGTTAGGAATCAAATGAGGTCACAGGTACAAAGAGCTACCAGCCAATCATTAATCATTGGTCATTATAGGTTAACCGAAATCGTATTCAATGATTAAGTTCTGAGCCAGAAGCATCACTCCGCAATAAACACGTTCCACGAGAGTTTTGAGGCAGCTTTCTGATTTGGGCAGGAATTCCATACCTGGAGTTTTTACCATTGAGATTGCTGTATGTGTAGAAATCCGATATAGTCAAGATTAAAATTTTCGTCCCTAGGTAACTAAAACTGAGATGGAAATTCTTCCCTCTGAGATCTAACGAATAATTTTGGTAATTTAGAAGATTAACAGAAGATGTAAGCTGAAGATAATTAAAATTAATATCAGTTGAAAATAAGTTATATTTGCGCAGCTGTTTCACCAAAAACTAAGAGATTGCAAGAGGCGAAAATCCTGCTTAAATGTTCATTCACTGTCATTTTCAACTTGGTGGATTCTTGCCATGTGAGTATCTAGAAATGCCTTTCTCATCACTTAGGGCGAGAAAAGGCAGAAATAAATAATACATTTCGTCTGAATGTATTTCCTGCTAAGCAGCTATATCCTTCAAAGTACGGAGACCGTAAACAACCGTTGATGTGCAAAATTAACATTCGTTGCTAAAGCAAATTTAGATTTCAATGAAAGACACTATGCTCTAACCAATGTCACTTTATCTTTTTTCTTTAACACGTTTAATGCTATTATTTTTTCAATTATCTTTTAATATGTGATGAATAATTAAAATAATTAATTTCTTTTGATCTTTTACTGCTTTACATAAGCCAACATGTTGAGGTTGTTATACGATACGGACAATATGTTTCCATTAAAACTGAGATTTTGTAAATATGCAGTACCGAAAGATCATTGATTTCACGGAATTAAAGTTCACACAAGTTTAATATTAGTCAAAAAATTAGACCTTTACCATCGAAAAGTAGTTCATTTTGTTGCTCATTTAGACTATTGAGTATACCGCGGTGTCTCGGTATTGCATAACCCTTTTAGCTGACGATTATAGACGTCAAAAGAATAACATAGTACTAACCTCAAATTTATTACCATTAAACAAATGGCTATTCCAAATATCTGGGCTGAATTCGTTTTAAGAGTAAACAGTTAGCATAGTGGAAAAATCTAATAAAGAGTTTGTAATAGTTAAGTTGAGGACAAAACCCTCCCAGTGTAAAAGCAAGAACTGGACAGTTTGATAAGTGACTTTCGTTAAAGTTGGATTCTCCGAAGTGTTAAGAGCTTTCTTTCGAGCATTTAAAATAAATACGCTTCTGCCTAAAACTAAATATATTTTTCTTTAACTCGTGGCATAAATTGTTATATAGTTTTAAAGATTTACCATTTACTAGATATGGAATTTTACTCTAAAAAACTCATATATCTAAATGTTAAGTATCAAATATTATGCAAAGAAATTTAAATACCTTTTTATATCTGAAAGATTTCAAAAGTGAAAAATCATCTTAGCGTGACTTTTAAACATATAAGCGTTATTTTTCAACGACCGTTGAGGTGAACACTCATTAGATTAAACGTTTGAGTAGAGTAAATATTCATATTAGTTCAAAAATTTTCTATTCCAATCTAAAAATTGTATTTTTTATTAATTTTTACATTTATATACTCTTCCACACAATGAAGGCCTTAATCAGAAGAGAATTCCAGACCTCAAGGTGCAACGAACTTATAGCTCGAACAAAGGAGAACCAGTAGACAGTGGCACTCTCCGACATACCCGACTGGCCAAGAATCGAAGCCGTTGCTGTGTTCAGACTACGTACCTGACACGATTGCTTGGCAAAACACCTTCACAGAATGGGAGTATACACTTACCCCACATGCCCTCTATGTAACCTACAGGAGGAAATGGAGAAGACCCATCTGATTCGGTGTCCAGCCCTAAAGACAAGGATTGAAAGCCAGAGATACTGGGAAGCAAGAAGACAGCTAATGAACTGCTATATATGTACCCCATGAGGGAAGCTGAAGTCAAAGTTTAAGGGCTAATGATAAATATCAGAAAGCCTGGCATTTGAAATAAATAAATAGCAAAAACATTTATATACTCAAAAGATTGCGTATTGAAAGTTGATTCTCTGTGTGGTTGGGTGGCTCTCAAAGGAGCTTATTGGAATTATTGGTTAATGTGACTACGCCGACTTAGCTATCATATATTTGACTGTTCGTGCGTAGTTTCAACCAAAATATTTCACGCCACGTAAATGGGAAAATGACTTTCATTGATCTTTATTAGTAGAGCTATGCTGACCATAATATCCTTTTTCAGAATGCTCTAAAACATTACTGGTAGAAATGAGGCAAGGGGAGGCTAAAACCCACAATGCCAATGTCTTGGGGTGATAAATTCCTCCACTTCGCCTACAAGTATTCACTCATCGTCATATACGATTTTCTGACAGCTTAGCGGGAATTGCGCTGAAAGCGAATTTTGTTGTGGTGGTATTTTATCACAAAATACCAATAAAATGAAAAATTGGATTCATATATGAGATCTTTACTTTATTTGTGGAAGAAAATCCTCAAGCACTTCTCATTATTCAAAAGGCGAAGTCTTGAAATTATAAATCCAAAATAACATGATCTCACAAAGACGCCATCCCAAGGTTTGCCAGCGCGTCATATTGAAAAGAGCCATTTGTTGTTTTGTGAACACTATCAATTGTCGGAAGCTTGCCTTCACAAAATTATCGGTTTTGGTATTTGGTTGCTCTCTTAATTGGAAAATTGTCAATGAGAAATATCCTTATTGTGCCAAAATAGCGTCAATTTTGAGAGTTAAGCACCTAAACAAATAGAAAGGAGTATGACACTTTTTAGAATTTGCAAAGCGACATATTTCAATTACAAAATCAATTCCATGTATAGCAGAGGTTGGGTACATAAGCGATAGGCACACATACAAAGGCCACATACAATATCTCAAGTTAGAGGGCAGTGGAAGTAGTACTTAGACGGGGAATTGAGAGGGCTCCACAACCTTAAAATCTTTACGAGTTAGGTACAACACAGTTGCCATAAAGAGGAACACTTCTGCAGTCACCGCAACACCAAAAGGCCATGAGAGATAGTTATTCTTGAACGTAGTGAGAAGGTAATCATCAGTGAGTTGGTCTCGAGCTGATGCGATTCGCTTTGCTATAACGTGAACCAATGCTGTGTGATTTGCGTAGAAATTTTTATTCATATTGCTAAAGTATTTCCTTAAAAGACCGACTCTCCATTGATCGATCAACTCTCGGGTTGCGTGAGTCGCCACATCTCCCCAGATCACAAGTCCCGTTAGGAGGGAAAGGGCTACAGGGATTAAAGAAAAACGCACTCAAAGTCAATTTTAATTAATGAGTCAGCGTGAAACTACCTAGCGCTGATGAAATATTGTTTAAAAGGGAACAAAATAGAGCCTCATGTAGGTGGATCATATTTTTGGCCTGTTAATTAACATTAACTGATCAAATAAAGGTTACTGTTTATCATTTCAAGCACAAATGAATAATCAGGTTATAACTTACTTTTAAGTGCAAAAGCACGTATTTAAAAAAATTTAAAGTATTCTTGAATTTAATATCATTAGATCGAACTCTATTCCATCAAGTAAATTATTTACGCAGTTTTTATATGTCCAAAATTGCAAAATTTTTAATGACTTGCTCATGAAAATTCAATAAGAAATTAATTTGGCTAAAAACAGAGGAATAAATAGCAAAGAAATGTTACTTTAGTATTTTGAGATTTTTTCATATTAATAACAGACACTCTTGAGGAAAAAACCAGTTTTTTTATAAAGAATAAATTACTTAATTTTCATAGGAAAAATTTGCTCTCACCGCCCTTTTAATATTCTGGAAAAGTGTAAATTTGTTGTGTGTGTGTGTGTGTGAGTACATATTTACAAGTCGCATTTTAACTTCATAAGCAAAACTAAAAATCAAATGAAAAGTAAAATTCTTCCTGTCTTACAGTCTTTCACAAAAAATTATTTTATTTTTTTATAAACTAGTTTGAAAGTAGTAACTGCTTTTAATTGACTTATAAGTAATCGTCGCCATATAGTAGAACGTTCAAAATTTACGAGGAAGTCTTTTATAGTTATTTGTGACAAAAGCAAACGGTACACACTTTGAACTATTTAAGTTAATAAGTTTTCAGAATGAAACTGTGGCAAACGAATTCATTATTTTCAATATCGACATCTCTGCAAAAAAAATGATTTCGCGTTATCGATGCATATTTTTTACTTAAAATACGCGAATTTATCAAATTTGTTGTGTGCAAATTGTGAGAATGAAATGCAAAAGGGAGCGGAGGAAGAAGTGCGTATACTTTTGACCTTATTAACAAGCTTGACCACCGTAGGGAACAATTTTATTAACCTGATTTATTTATGCACCATAAGGATACTCGACGAGATGTCCGGGACTATCAAACATCGAAATATTTCGCTTTTGCCAGGAGACACATGTTCAAAATCGCATATATGGCAAAATAACTTCGTTGAAGGCTTTAAAATCATTCTTTAATTTTTCACATGTTGTCTGCTTACTGTCAATATCAAGCATGAGCTAGCATTAGTGAACGAAATAATTGTGTATAATATTTATAATGCTTCAGTTAACATGGTTTCACGAAAATGTATAAATGTCAATATGATTGTCCTTATTTTTATCATATCTTCATAGTTTTTCCCAAGGTTTCTTTTAGGATATGAATAAATCTGTTCCTACGAATTGCACGTTCTTGTGTTATTTTAAACTTCTTTTAAACTGTTAGAAGGAAAATAAATCGCTCGAGATAATTGAATTTAAACAACTTGACAACAATTAGCATGAGGCAAGAATAAAGTACTGTTATCTAATTATCACCGACCATTTATAATGTCCACATCGATACAGGGCACTTATAATTGTAAGTAGCACCTGAACTTGGTTTAAAAGGGAAATAATGCATGAAGGGGAATGGAAACTGAAAAAAATATCTAAAAGTCTTAAATTGTTAAAATAGTAGGAACTGATTTTAAAATTTAAATTCACAAGCACTCAAAATCATAGAAGCTAATTCGTGCCCACCATACCCAATGCTTACTTACGGACCATTATCCACAATGTTGCGTCTTTCCAATTTGACCGTATTTTTCTCTTAACGGCAGTAAAGATTTTAGTACATACCAAGGCAATCAGTAGTTCATATTAGTAACAGCTCAGAACCCGATGCAAAGTGAATTGCAATTATCCAGTATATAAATAAATTACAGAAAACTAATTGTTTTGGAACCTTATATTATTACGTTATTGCACGATTTTGAGCTCAGTATATGTATTTGGAAATTAAACAAGTTATTGAAATATTTTTATTTTACTGATTTAAACCAGTTCGATACTAAAACCTACTTGGAGAAAGATGGTGCGATGAATACCAGACAGCGGATTTCATTGTTCACTTTCTCAATTGGTATCTAAGTTTCCGTCAGAGCAAATGTGAACTAGTAATGCATATAAATTCTAACGCAATTCAATTCAGTGAAAACGAATTTTACCAGTGGTAGAGAAGAAATAGACGAATTTATCCCCGACGTATATACAATTTTTGGTGGAAAATGGATAAGTTTCATCATTTAAATTGCATATAAGCCGCATTTTATTGAAAGCAGGGAACATTTATTATCTCAAAATTTGGATGATGGGTTATATAATTGCCCTAATATCGAATATACATGGTAAAATTCGATTCCAAAGAAGCCTTTGAAATGAAGAAAACTATTTTACTTCATATTTCATATCTTTTTGACATGTGTAGGCAATCAATATGAAGTTTCACGAATATATTTCTGACTACAAAGATTAAAAAAGTAACTTGCATGGTTTTTAATCTAAGAAGTGCATTGTATGTAATTGATTGATAAAGATAATGATTTCTGTCATGCCATTGTAATTGCATTTTTGTAATTTTCTTTGGCCTGATTAAACAGTTATGACTTTAACACAGAGAAAAAGAGAAATTAGTGGGCATGTATTGTGTTTTGCTATTACTGATGGATGAGATCATTGATGGTGCCAGAAATTATGATGAAGTAACCGATTATGCTTTTTGAAGAAATTAAGTGTTGCTATTGTTTGCTTCCCTTTTACAAAAGGTGGGATATAATGTATTTTAAAAATGAATGATTTTTTAACGAGAAATTGAGTACCAGTTTTTTCATATTGGCACAAAAATATATATATATGATAGGAAACACTAATGATATATAATTCTCAAAATTTGGTTCATGCCAAAAGAGGTGAACACCCCTACGTTCTAAAAATTGAAATTTTTTTGGGGTGGAGGAACGGTAAGAGTCGGCACATTTAGCTGCTAAATTTGGTCATCTGTTAGTAGTAAAATTATTGCAAATCAAAGCATACAACTTTACAAGATTATAGGTTATGCATTTGAACAGACATACATCCAGAGCTCAGAAGTGCGATGTAGGCAATTCTGGAGTACTTGTGTCGACCGACTCTCTCTAAGTGAATTCGAAGTACTCCAATCACGAAAGCCGTCAAACTGCAGCCACACCCGAGTGCAATAAACTTTGGTACCGCGGGTGCTGTAGCTGAAATCAAATTTTACTCAAATTACTTCGGAGAAGTGGACTTATTTCTACCAATTTGAAGTTACCCATGGTAAACTAAGAAGTTTAGATCATTGTTTTTCGAGCACCATTTTAAAAGCATTAAACACTCCTTTGACATTCTTATGTCTCGATTAACTTCATGATTCGATGTTTTTAATTGCCTAAATCTATTGCGAAATATTCAATTTAAAATATCAGAATATATACAAGATTCGTCACAGCTTCAGTCTTTAAGGAAAATCCAATCTAATGTTATATCACTCAGGTAATCAACTCATAGAATTGGAAAATGACGTCTGTGAATTGGGCATGTCTTCAATTTCCATAATATTTGAAATCGAATTGTTTAATGAAAGAATTTTTAAAGGAACAAAACATGTTATATCTGGTGAAAATGGCTGAACAAAATCGCTATAAATTTCATGGTGTACTATATATAAGTACTTTAAGAACAAGCTATTTAATTAACTATTCTAAAATTAAGTGGACAAAGTACTTTATTAAACATCATCAATGGATATTCTAAAAACCTGACTTTCATAAATTATGACTTTCATGTATGTTAAATGTTCTACATTCATGGATTTTGTAAATGTCATGATTATTTCAAGTTTTATTTAAATTCTTGAATATGATAAGTTAAACAATTCGTTAAAATTAGACTCAAATTTCGCTTTAAAATTAACAAATGAAATCTATTTTATAAGAGCACTAATTAAAGGCTATATTCAATAGCAAAATAATTTGAATTGTGATTAATTAGAATACCATCTTTACAAAATTATTCTCTGCATGAATCCAGATGTAAAATTGCACTTCCGGCAATAAGGGTATGATCTACTGCAATATAGAGGTGCAAATATTGGGAAGATAAAGGGTAATAATATTATTAAAGTATCGACATTTTTGATAATTAGAAATAGAAATAATTTTTTGTCCTTGAACTAGTCAGTTACAATAAAAAAGAACTAAGGCATCGTCACTGTCTTCCTGTTTCTACTGTCTCAAAGGAAAATTTGATTATAAAGTAAATAATTTAAAAATTATAAATTTGACACTAGTCTTATTTATTAAGCATCAACATTTTGATGCAAAGTTCAGTATTTCTTCAGTTTGGTTGCACACATATTTAATCTTAGCAATATATCTCTCTACCTTTTAGAGAAAAATATTCGGACAACTAGACGTTTATTAAGGACACAAAATTTAACCCTGAAGCATTATAACTGAAGGGAATTTTGACTACTAATTTGGTAAAGATGAAAAGTAGAAAATGGAACTCGACAGATAGGCTTCGTAAAAGGAGCAATCTTTATGGTACCAACAACTTAATATAAATTTTACACTATTGACTTTCTCAAGGTGGGTGTAAAAGACTCAAGGCTTCTCAAATGCAGCTCTACGGATGATTCTGGATGAGAAAGGCAAAAGACGAATGAACATAAAAGTTCCTCTGAGAATCCTTTGCCAAACGATTGCAGAGTCGTGGTTCTAACTTCTGAGGGAGTGTGTGAAAGGCAGTCAGTTCAATTGCTAAAGCTATATTGACTTTGCAATTACCAAGTTGATAAACTCTGATGTTCCTCGTCTAAAGAGGTGGTATTGGGTGGTGTGAGACAGGCGTTCGTTGAGAAAGAGGGTGCGGTTTGGATGCAAACTCTCAATCAAACACTCACCAACTCCCACACCTACTCCTACCCCTACTCGTACTCGTACTAGAAGTGCGAACAAAGATAAAATGTGTGTGGGAAAGGAGAGTGATCAGTCTGTCTGTTAAGTGTTACTGACTTCACTAAACGCATGTGAGAAGAGAAGACACTGGTGAAGAGACCATCATCGAAACGTAGACCTTCCACACACCGACACAAATTCTTGCCCAATCATTAAAAAATATGGTGACCAGAGTTTCCATGTTCGGATTAACTGAGAAATTAGGAGATGAAGGCATAATATAGATAGCACGACAATCTCAGAATCCAGACGCAATAGGGTGTTGACCATCGATTTACTCTACAATCTTTGCAGCTTTTCTTACACTCTCAATATTAAA